TTATTTTGATCGAGCATGAATCTCGAGGCAATATCAAGCATGAAACTTCAAAAATTAAATTAGGGAGCACCTGAACTCTGATTTTAGCGAGCTTATGGTCAAACTGAGCGTCTTAGAAATACGAACCCAATAACACCAAACTCAACTCAATCCGAGCCCAAATGAGCCTAAATCAAGCACCCAAAATGCTGTTGAAAAGTTCATAACACAATTTGAGTTACAAAATGGTCTCCGATTTTAACGAGCTTATAGTCAAATTGAACGGCTCGACGAGACGAATCCAACGAGCCCAAGATTATCAAATTTTAACATCATTAAGAACTTCATATGTCTAACGAACGGTGCATGATCAAGGGATTCAATATCAACCGTCCATTCAACTACTCCCTCTTTGCCTCTGATCTCACACCAATTTACGAGCTATGCCACTCCAAAAAATCTATAAATAGACCCCTCATTTCTCATGAGAGGGGACCCAAGCAAGAAAGAGAGAAGAAGAAGAGAAGGAGAGAAGAGAAGCATAGGAGGGAATAGCTCCTCCTCGACCACCGCCGGAATTCTTCCCGTTGCCTCAACAATGCTGGAGTTCGGCCAAACACTCGAGTGACGCAAGAATTCTTCCCAAGTAATATAAAAGTCCTGTGCGACGTTGGATTTCAGTACGACTTCCAGATGACACCTGAATTCTGCCTAATTTCCTTAGTGACGTCGGAACTCTGCTCGACTTTGTAACTGAATTTCAATTCAGAAGAAACTCACTGTAATCTGATCATCCTAACTTGACGGACAAATCAGTCTCTTGTATCTCAAATAAAAAAATAGTGGAATTATTTCAACTGGGCGTGGCCCCGTGGTTTTTTCCCTTTTCAGGCTTTTCCACGTAAAAATCCTAGTGTTTCTTTTTCAGTTCTATTTGTGTGCTAGATATCTGTACAACGCTTAGACGAAAATTTTTTAACTTTATCGCCACATATATTCTATCCCGCAACAATAAATATTTTTAAATACCAGCTAGTTAGCTTATCCACACTTAGGTTCTATTTGGAAATTTTTTCTCACTGGTTTACATTTCGACAACCATCACAATTTTGTTTGGCTTTTATTTTATTGCAACTTTCTCACAACATTTTGCCTATTTCTATGGTGAAAAATGTTATTTGCAACTAGATTTTTTTTATTATAAATGCTTTGAAGATATTCTATTATCAAGTGAATCATTATAGGTTGTCTGATATAACACTCCTAATTTAACCTAGATCTTCTCCATATTTACGAAGCATGAAAATCTCAAGATCTATAAATAAACACTTTCTTCCCACATTAAAGGAGGCTTAGACCTTGGGCAAGAGATCAAGAAAGCTATTAGGCTTGAAGAATCGCAAAGCTCCACCCCAACAACATCGTCGGCTAACCCTCGCCGACTAGCCATCACTGTTGAACCTCCACCAAATCATCGTTGTTGGACCTCTGTCAAGCCACCACCGTTGGGTAGACCTCAAACTACCATCGTCTGAAGAAAATTATCCCGCTTACCATAGTCGCCTACAAACTATGGTCCCTCTGATCACCATCGCCAGATGACTATGGTCCCATCGACCACTAGCATCGGTTGACATGGAGCCTTGACCACCATTACTCGTCGACTACATTACCTCCATCCACAACTACCCACCAACTATGTTACCTCTGACCGCCATCGCCCACCGTCTACGGTCTCTCCAACCACCGTCGCCTGCTAACTACGGTCCCTTCGACCATCGACTATGGTTCCTTTTATTACCGTGTCCCGCCGATTACTGTCCCTCTAATCACCATAACTGTATAGTCTGAATTAGACATTTTTGGGATTTATGGAACCATTTTTTGACTTTCTGAATCCTATTTTAGCACTTTCAAAGTTCAACAGAGCCTTTATAATAAAATTCAAGTAATTTTAAATATTTCAGAGAGTTATTTTTTTTAATAATTATTGCTTCGACCAATACTTTAGGACATCTAACATTTACAATTAAAGATATTTTACTTGATTTATGGCCACATTAAAAGATCCACGCTGATGTCGAGGGAGTGAACACTCTTAATTTTAAAAAAATTATAATTTTGTGATTCAAATAATTTGAAAAGTTGTGATATGTATTTTCACACTTCTGGGGTTTCGACATTAAAAAAAAAGAGGCAATCTATATATCATAAAGAAATTATCTTGATTGGGTATGAATCTCGAGGAAAAGTTAAGTTGAAAACTTTCGAAATTAAATCTGAGACCATCCAAAATTCGATTTCAACAAACTTACAATTGAATTGAACGTTTAGAAAATATGAACCCAACGACACCAAATTTGACTCAATCCGAACCCAAATGGGTCCAAAATCGAAGACCCAAAATGCCTTTGGAAGGTTCAAACCATAATTTGGATTAACAAACAAATTTCAAAAGTGACATGCTTATAATCAATTCGAGCAGCTCAATGAGACAAATCCAATGAGCCAAAGATCATCAAATTCTATTATAATTAAGATATTCAAATGCCCAATAAATAGTTAATGATCAAGGGGATCAATATGTAACATCCCAAAGTCTTAACTATCGAGATATTGTCTGTTTTGGCCAAAGAGCCTCATGATTTTATTTTGTTGGTATAACTTCTCGGTAGATCACCCATATAGAATTACTCTAGGAAGAGCATGCTTAATTACGGGGTTTCTTACAAAAAATTTAACTATTACACCAAAGGCGCCTTGATGTTTAAGAGTTAGATTTCTTTTACTTAAGGAGTTTCACAATCTCCCCCACTTAAGTAACTGACATTCTCGTCAGCATTTGTATCCCAGAATCATCTACCTGGCAGATTGGACTCTCGAGGTGACTCCTACAAGTTCAAATGGTGGCTTCCATCATGTAGCACTTTTTCTCATAAATGATTCAAGAGGTGGCTCCCATGGCGTAGCACTTTATCTTGTATGACACTTAGCTCCCATCTTCCAGCAAGTGTATTGCTCTGATACCATTTGTAACAACCCAAACTTTGAACTATTGCGATATTATTCTCTTTAGCTAAAGAGCCTCATGATTTTATCATGTTGGTATAACTTCCTAGTAGGTCATTCATCCTAGAATTGCTCTGAGATGAGCTTGCTTAACTACGAAGTTTCTTACAAAAATTCTAGTCATTACACCAAAAGGCACCTCAATATTTAAAAGTTAGCTTTCTTTTACTTGAAGAGTTTCACATAATATCGACTGTTTATTCAAACAACTCCAAACTTACCCTTGATCTTCCACCTATTTATTGGCCATGTTACTAAATAAGTTTCTTTGACCTTAATCATCCATCGACTACAGTCCTTGAACAACTATTACTTAACAAGGATCCTCCAATCACCAGTGTCCGATAATAATCTTTTCAACCTTCATCGCCTGCCGACTATGATCCTTAGAACACCATTGTCAAACTTTGATACTTGATCCACCATCATCAGACTATAATTCTTCGACCATCGTCACTGAACTACAATCCTTACAACCATTATCACCCATCGACTATGGTGTTTCGACCTTGATCACTGATTACCATGCTTTGACCTTTTCGCCTATTGACTGTGGTCCTCCACCGTTGTCATTAACCAACAATAATACTTTTGACATACTTCACAAGCCAACTACGATCTTCTGACCTTTGTCGCCAGCCAATTGCATCCCTTTAGCTTATAATATTTTGGCTATTATCACCTGATTACTCCAACGCCTAATGGCTTCTTTACCTACTATCAAAAATAATGCAAACATATACCATCACTTATAGGATCGATGTATACCATCGACATCAACTCTCATTCACACTTCTATTTATATTGGATTTCTACTAAAAGACTCTTTCAACATCAATATTATAGTATGTTCTTTGCATTGTATGAATATCTTCTCTAAAGGAAGTTCATCATTTGTAATCAATGATAAATAGTAGTTGAATCATTTTTAACATGTCAGATCCTATGATTTTTCCCTTTCTTAAATTTCATACATTAAAAATCTCTTGTCTCTTACCGTTCATGAGATCCTTTCTTATATGTGTGTACCAGATCTTTATGCAAAACTATGATGTTAAACTCTATATCTTTCTATTACAGCAAATATTCAAGCATATAATGATGATATATATAGATATGTGTTAATTAAAAAAAAAATTAATTTTAACAATTAATATAAGTTAATTAAAATTATTATCTTAAGTTAATGAATATTATATTTTAATGTTGGCCATTACAAGAGATTGATAAAATGAAGGGATATAGAGATGAGGATGCTTAGGTGAATAAATGATTTTGCTCTTAGAGACATAATGCAAAATGAGTTTATATCTTATAAAGTTGGAGTAGCTCTAGTGGGAGATAAGATTAGATAGAGTCGTTTTAGAGATGATTTGGTCATATGAAAATATCAACCTTTCAATAACTCGATTAAAAGACTTATTAGATCTAATTTATGTTAAGAAAGATAAATATAGACCTAGATAGACCTGGTTAAAAGTTAGTAAAAATAATTTTTTTAACTAGATTTAAATAACAATTTGACCTTAAAAGGAAATGACAAAAAGAAAAAAAAAATTTCATGTAGGCATGTAGCCAATCTCACATAGTGAGATAAACACTTGACATTATTATCATATCAAATTAATTTGTTTAAAAATAAATAAATAAATAAATAAGTATTATTATTTATGATATTTAATTAAACATATTAAAATAAAAATAAAATAGTTATAAGAAAATAGTTCAATTATATGAATTTCAAAGAATTTCAAATAATTTCAGTTTAATTAAATATAATATTTATAACGCTAAATAATTTTTTTAATTCAATCCATATAAAATTTATAAACCTGCATAAATGCTACTTATTTAAATCTTATTCCTCCCAACCAATCAGCCTTTGAGTACCGTTGTACCAGCAAACGTCCAAAAACTACTTGAGGGACAGAGAGAAACAGGAGCGGTTTTACCTTTCCCGAGATGCGTCGCAATTCGCCGAGGAGGCAAGAGAGGAAGGATGACTTGCCGGATCCGACGGTGCCAACGACGGCAGCGAGGGAGCCGCGGCGGATCCGGACGTTCACACCCTTTAGAACCGCCGCATCGGCTTCAGCGATATCGTCGTCCCAAGCGAACATGCCGTCGCAGACCTCCACAGCTGGGGCGTCGACGGCGTTGCAGCCAGTCACTTTTTCTACGGCGGCATCCTGGATTTCGCTGCTTGTCATATAGGAATCCAGTCGCTCCAGCGAGATCATGGCCTGCGAGGCCGATATCAGCGCTTGTGGGAAGTTGCGCATCGGTTCCTGCAAGATCTTGAATAAAGAAGTGGCTGTAAAGACAATGCCAGCATCAAGGCGGGCACCGAAGGCCACGCAGGTGCCGAAAACGAGGGAAGAGAGGATCACAGGCGCGCTCCAGAGCACGATAATGTTCGAGGCGACGGAGTACAAGAAGCGGGAAAGCCAGCCGAATTCCTCGGAGCGGAAGCCCTGTATCCGTTTGTTGAAATGCTCTTCCCAGGCCTGGAACTTGATGACGCGCATGTAGTTGAGCATTTCGTTGGTGGCCTTCATGCGCTTGTCGCGCATGCCCATGAGGAAGAACTGGCAGCGGTTGTTGCGCTTGGTGCCGAAAACGACGAAGACCATTATAGCGATTATACCAACTACAGCGGAGGTGACTGAGAGACCAAGATAAGCATAGAGAAGGGAGAGGGCGACGCCAACTTGTAAGGGCATTAGCCAGATGTAGTGGATTTGGAGCATCATGTCGGAGAGCTGCTGGGCGTCGACAGCCATGTAGTTAACGATCATGCCGAGGCCGTGAGATTGGCGTGCAGAGCATGAGAGACGGAGGCCCTTGCGGTACAGGGCAGTGATGAGGGTGGAGCGGATAAGCATTCCCGTCTTCTGGGAGTGGAAGTTGTATTGGTGGGAACAGAGGACCTCGACGAACTTGGCGGAAAGGAGTGCAAGGCAGAGGTAGTACCCCTCGTAGATGTAAGAGCGTTGGCCGGAGGCGAAGTCAACGAAGCGACTGATTAAGGTAGGGCCGATGTACATCACGCAGAGGCGTACGACGGCCAGAGAAGCGGTGTGGAGGAGCTGCGGCCAGAAGCATCGGAGGAGTGTTGCGCGGACAGGGTGGTTGGATTTGATAGCGGGATTAGGCCACTTTGAGGCGAAGAGGTTGTACAGCCGCTCTGCACGGTGGTTCCACGAGAGGGATGGAACGTCCTCGAGCTTGAGAGGGGTTTTGTAGCCCTTGGTTAGAAGGGGATTCATCCAGCTCCAGGTGAGTCGAGAGAAGATGGAAGCAGTGCTGTAGCCAGTTACATTGGTTTTGTTTTGGGAGTTGTAGATTTCTGCAGTTGACGAAGAGACAGGGGATGATGGAAGAGGATGGATGCCGGTAGAAGGGGAGATGGCAAAGACGAGGAGAGCCGCGAAGAAGAGGACGAAGATGACGGAGACGATGTCGTCAGGCAGAATGGAGGAGGATGAGGAGAAGGATAGGCGAATGATGGCGGTGCTGGATAGAGGAAGAGAGATGATAAAGGAGGCGATCCAGTAAAGGCGGAGTGTTAATGGGTGTGAAATGGCGTGGAAGCGCTTCTCGTGGGCGATGATGGCCACGGCTGCGACGTTTGAGAGGAATTGGAGGAAGAGGGTAATGGATTGAACGAGGCGCAAGGAGAGGGGGGAGGAGGCGTCGAGGATACCGAGAATGGAAAGGACAAAGAAGGCAACGCCAAGTAGGGCGGAGAGGGCAAGAGGGAGGTTGAAGCGCCAGGTTGTTCGAACGTCAGAGGATGTGAAGGAATCAGGAAGGAAAGGTTTAGTGGCGTCGGAGATCGATTTTTTGGGGCGTCGGTGGCTGCTGAGGAGCTTCAGGACAACGAAGACTAGGAGGGATATGAGGAAGAGGAGGTCAATCAATGAGAAGACGACACGTTGTGCACATGGCGAAAGGAAGGTGAAGGAGAGCCACTCGCCGACGCCAGCTCCTTTCGGAGGGGAGCAGGCAAGATAGGTGAGCCACGACATGCTAGCCGTCGAGGGGTTCTCCGGTTGCAGCGCACTCCGTCCCACCGTAAGAGGAGAAGATCGACGATGATAAATTAATGTGTTGGAGGAAAACAGATTCGGAGATTTCATTAGAGAGGCGCAATGCAATTGGTATTCTAGAAGACGTGGACAACGAGAAATAATTCTGTGCGGACTTCGATTATAAAGCTGTGTTGGTAATGTCAAGTACTGTTATTAACTTAATAGATATACCGATTTCATTCCAATTATTAACTTAATAGATATACCGATTTCATTCCATCTGAATGAATTTGCAACAGAAAAAGATCTATATCTTGAATAAATTTAATTTTTTTTTTGAAGAAATGCAATATGCATTATTGAGAAAAAAAGAACTAGTTACAAACATCAAAAGGATGATATTCTTCCTTGATTAAATTAACCATCAAGGGAGGGATATCATCAAAAGAAAAGCTATCAAAATAGAAACTATTCTCTAAAGTCATAGTAGCACAGAAGTTGGCTACCTTATTACATTTCCTATAAGCATGTAAAAAGACAACTTTATTGAAATCATTCACAAATAAAGAATCCCTTACCGATTTGAAGTCCATAATCCCTTTATTTTGCTTCAAGGAGTTTTGAATGTAGGTGATAACTATCACTTTCCACAATCACCCCTTTATAGTCCCGCATCCAGCTTTTGACATAATCCTTGACTGAAAGAATTGATCCCATTTCCCGCTGTGTTATGTCCCAATGAATCATCTTCTTCCCAAATGCAAGACAATTTGGAAGATAAAACGATGAAAAATCTGCACTTATTTTTGTTTTCCAAAACAATTTGAAAGCTAACAGTGCAAATTCATCGTCTTTGAATCTTCCTGTTTTCCAAGCATTTTTGAAGTAGGATATGATATTTGAATTATCCCCTTCTATGATAATTCCTTTGTATTTGAACATCCAATCTTTTATTTCCTCCTTTAGAGAATGAATGGCAAGCATTTCCAATTGAGCTATATCATAATGTTGAATAGTTTTTCCATAAGCAAATAAGAATCTTCCATAGCTATCACGAAATACAGCGGCAATTCCAGCTTTGTAAGAGGATAAAAGAGATGCATCAACGTTAACCTTTAGCCAATTGGGTGGAGGAGGATGCCAAGTTTTAGACAGTCTTGCCGACTGATTAACATCCCAATAGCCCAAGTTGAATTGATTAAATTTCAGAGAGACCATGGATTGGCAAATAACATTAGAAGCTAAGAAAGTTGAATTATCTTCAACTCCATCATGAATAAACTTGTTTCTACTTTTCCAAGCAAGAAACACAATATTACAATATAAGCTCACCATTAATCCTTTCTTCGTAATGTTGGATTCAATCCAGTTAATACATTGATTCTCTACTTCAAATGAAGGAATGTAGAATCCCCAATTATTTAAAATCTGGATAATTTCCTTCACTTTGCTGCAGCCACAGATTAAGTGTTCTACATCTTCTCTAGCATCACAACCCCTTGGGCAATTTGAATTCTGGATTAATCCTCTGTAGCAAAGAAAATGGAGAGTTGGAATGGCATTTCTGTTCAACCTCCACCAGAAAAACTCCACCCTATTGTTCAGATTAGCTTTAATGATCCATCTCCATTTTAAATCATCTTCTAACTGTTCAGCTTCGGCTTTACAGATTAATCCTGGAATTGTCAATCCAGAATTTTCTATTTTATCCAATTCCAAATTGTCTTCTAAGCTTATTTGTTAATTCCAAAGGTGGATAACCCCATGATACCTTCTAACTATAGACCTATAAGTCTATGCAATACGATCTACCAAAGTGGTGGCTAGAATTATTTTGAATAGAATAAAATTGGTTATTCCAAATCTTATTTCTATGGAGCAAACAGCTTTCATCAAAGGGAGATCTCTATCTGATCATATCTTAGTGGCTTCAAGAAGTTTTTCATAAGCTTCGTGGTTTCTAAAGCTTCCAAAGGCTTTGTTTATTTCAAAGTGGACATGAACAAGCTTATGATTCCATGGCTTGGTCTTCACTTAAGAAAGGATATTAGAGTACTTCAACTTTCTCTCTCAGATTTTCTAAATTAATAATGGATTGTGTAGAAGATCCCCAAATTCTCTATCACATCAATGGAAAATGCACAAATTGGATTTTAGCTAAAAATGGATTTCGTCTCAAGGATGTTCATTATCCCCCATCCTATTTATTCTATGCTCTCAACTCCTATCCAATGCATTTCATCAAAGCTCATGTGGTATTCAAGGTAAATTCGAATGGTCCTAGAATTTCCCATTTTATTATATGCTGATGACGTGGTCATTTCTCTAAAGCTAATAGAAAAGAAGTGGTGGAAGTAAAGCAAATTCTACATAAGTTATGTGAATGGACAGGACAAAAAATTAATTATGAAAAATCTATGTGTTTATTTGGGAAGCATGAAAGAAAAGAAATTAAAGAAAAAAATATCTAATATCATGGGCTTTAAACAAGTGAAGGAGTTCAATTATCTCGGGATAAAGTTGACACTAAGAAGCCTGAGAAGAGAGGATTTCCAATTCATTATTGATAAATCCATGAGAAACAATCAACAAGGGAATAAAAACCTTTCTATTCTTGGAGATTACTTTGGTAAAATCAGTTTTATTAGCTCTTCCTTCTTATCATGCTACTCACTCTTTAATTCCAAAAATGCTGCTGGAAGAACTTGATAGAATTTGCAAGAATTTCATCTGGAACAAGAAGAATGGTAGAAAAGGATTGCATTACATTAGCTGGCCAGATTTGTGTAAACCTGTTGAATTCGGAGGCCGCGGTTTACAACCTAACATCTCTAAAACTTCGGCTTTGAGAGCATGAATTGCCTGGAGATTCATTAATAATAAGCATTCCTTGTTACATATGATCATGGCTTCAAAATATGGTGAAAAACTGGAAAGAGGATATTCAAATTGCTGTAGATCCACAGCTTTTAAAATACTGAAAGAAGGGCTCAAAATGCTAAAACCAATTGTAAGATGGAAGATAGCTAATGGAGAATCAATAGATGCTTTTGAAGACACATGGATTATGGACAAATCTATAAACAAATGGCCAACATTTGTTACTCCACATGATGGCAGCTTGGTTCGGGTTAAAGACCTCATTGTGAATAACCAATGGAATGATCTAGAATTAAAAAAATACTTTGGCAATGATCTAATCAATTTGATAAAACAAATTGATATCAAACATGAATAAATTTAATTAGATAGGAGAAATTAATTCAATTATACTGATTAAACTTTGAATATAAAATTGAGTTAATTAGTTTTTTATAGGAAAAATGACAAATTTTGATTCAACTTTTATATATTGCACATCTTATAAGAAAAATAATCACTTAGATATTTATCTTGATTCGAATTTGATCAGAACATCGAAATAAAAATTTGATCAAAACATCAAAATAGAAAGTTTTTCAGTAACCTACCAAAAATAAAACTCAATGTTTTTCAGGTAAGTTTCTGCTGGGAGTCAAAAGAATCTTTACAAAGACTAAAACATATTTTTACAGTAGTTTCTTTGCTTATTTTACTTGTATTCTTTTTTAATATATGAAAGGACTTTGCCCCAAAATTTCTCAAAAAAAAAAAAATTATGTTATTTTATTAAACAACTTATTTCATGAAAAAAATTATGAGGGATTAAAATTTATTTTTTCACCATATATTTAAATTTGATTATGTGAAGAATGACTCTTATTATTCAGTTTATTTACTGTTTTACCGTAACTTAGGCTATATATATTTAACAATGTAATGTACTATTCACTTGAGATAATAATATCACTTTCATTCCTCTGTTTCATTCCGTCTTCCTCAACCTTTCTCGTCTCCCTGCTCATCTTCTTTCATGGTATCATGAGCCGGAACCTACCCATGGCCGATCAAGAATCAGCAAATTCCCACCCTCCCACCTCTGCTGTTCTCTCCGGCGATTCGACAACCAAGCTCCACATTCCGGCACCCCTCAAATTTCTAATCTCAAACATCAAGAACCACGTTCCGAATGCGCTCACCGCCGACAACTACGCAATTTGGAGAATCCAACTCCTCCAACAATTCACCGCAAACGGTTATGCTGGACACCTCACTGGCATCAGTTCTTGTCCCTCCGACGAGTCCTCCTCCGAAGCGCTCAAATGGCATCTCATCGATAATAATCTTCTATCCGCCTCTTTTCCACAATCTCTCCCGCCATCTTGCCATATGTTATTTCTTCTACCACTGCTCAAGATGTCTGGAATATCCTCGAACGCCGGCTGCAACCAACTTGTCGTTCGCGTGTCATCCAGCTCAAGAACGAGCTGCATCACATTCAAATGCTCGACCTCACGATGCAACAATATCTATCTCAGGTTAAAACGATCGTTGATAACATTGCAGCATCAGGATCGCACGTCGACGCGGAGGACATCATTCTACACATTCTTAATGGCCTACCGTCAACCTACAATTCGTTCAAGGCGGCCATCCAAACCTATCCAACCTCTTTAGATCTTGATAACTTGTATTCTCTTCTTTGCAGCGAAGAGATAAATGTTCTTCAAGAACTGGCTCGTGACAACAATACAACTGCCGGTGCAACTGCTCTCTATACGACATCCATCACTCAAAATTGTGGTCAGTCATCTCGCAGATTCAACAAGAATAAGTTCTCGGCGGACAACACGGCAAACTCTGCTACTCCTACTCAAACCGTTAGTGCTCCATCCTCTAACGGACCGAGACCAACATGCCAAATTCGCAATAAATTGGGCCACATTGCTCTCAATTGCTGGCACCGGAACAATCCGAAGTTCGCTCCCACCAATCCAAGATCAATACCAGTGTTTCTTGCCCAGCAAAACTCATCGTCAAATCAAGACTGGATCATAGACTCAAGAGCATCAAACCATCTGACGCCTGACATCCATACTTTGCGCCACCCGACTACCTATCAAGGACAGGAGAGCGTCTCCATTGCAAATGGTTCTCAACTCCCGGTACTTCATTCTGGCCAAGGCCTTCTCCTTCTACCTGACACGCCCCGTAAGCTCCTTCTACGAAAACTTCTTCACGTACCAAATTTATCTCACAATCTTCTTTCCGTTTCTAATCTAACCACAGATAATCCAATTTTTATAA